GTCCCCCGAGCAGCGCACCGGCGAGAAGGGCTACCCCAATATCGTCCGCCACCTTGACTTCGTCCAGAACTTTCCCGCCTTCGCCGCCGATGTCAAGGCCGACGATAAGGTCAAGGTTGACCTCGACGAGGTCCTCTACGTGAAGCCCCCCGTCGATGCCAAGGCCGAGAAAGAGCGTCTCAAGAAGGAGAAGGCCGCTGCCGCCGCCGCCGGTGGCGCTGCTGCTGGTGACAAGGCCCTGCCCGACCGCACCAAGGAGCCGAAGAAGGATAAGAGCGCTGGCGAGAAGGTCAAGGAGGTTGTCGCCGAGGCCAAGGACAAGGTCAAGGCCGCTGTCGGTGCCGGTGAGGGCCAGCCCAAGAAGGAGAAGAAGGCCAAGGCCCCCAAGCCCCAGAAGGCTGCTCCTGCTGCTGCCCCTCTCTCCCCTGCCCTCATCGACCTCCGTGTCGGCCACATCCTCAAGGCCATCAAGCACCCCGAGGCCGACTCCCTCTACGTCTCCACCATTGCCGTCGGCGACGAGCCCAATGATGACACCACCGAGTATGAGGGCCAAGTTTGCCGCACCGTCTGCTCTGGCCTCAACGGCCTCGTGCCCCTCGAGTCTATGCAAGGCCGCAAGGTCGTCGTCGTCTGCAACCTGAAGCCCGTCAAGATGCGCGGCATCAAGTCGTGCGCTATGGTTCTTGCCGCTTCTCCCAAACTTAAGGAAGGCGAGGTCGACGATCACAAGGGACCTGTCGAGCTCGTCACTCCCCCCGCTGATGCCAAGGCAGGTGAGCGTATCAACTTTGAGGGCTGGGAAGGTGAACCCGAGGGTGTCCTGAACCCCAAGAAGAAGATCTGGGAGACCTTCCAGCCTGGCTTCACCACCACCGACGACTTGGCCGTTGCCTTTGATGCTGGTGTTGTTGAAGCGCTTGGAAAGCAGGGTCTTGGCAAGCTCAAGACCAAGTCTGGCGGTCTTTGCACTGTTCCCAGCTTGAAGGATGCCGTTGTGCGGTAAAAATTCTTTTATTGTTGTTCAAGTCATGATAAACAAAAGTCCTCGCAGCCATGTTCTGCTGAACCATCTAAAATAGAACAAGATTCCATGATGCACCTATGTTATTGCACCTATGTTGTTCTCCCAGCATCTATGCAGCCTGTCCGCCCACGCCTTTTGCCATGTGACGCTGCCTAAATACTATGATCCCGACCCTTCCCTTCCAGTAGAATGTGCTGGCTGACTACATAAAGAACTGAGGTATTCGTCACAGGCTACATCATGAGACCTCTCTTTTTTCTGGCTCCTTCCCACTCCTGCCTTGACGTTCTTGGTCGCATCTCAATTCTTCCCCTCTTCAAACTCAACATTCGACTTTCACCGGGATATATTTCAGCCTCCATAACCACGCCCAGAATAGACTATGCCTCCCACCTATTCACACAATGAAGCTACCCTGAGAGGCGTCCTTCTCACCCTCATACTCGCCAACCTCGTCTGGATCGCAAGCATGCTCGGCTCCATCTACGAGGAAGACATGGAGTGGGATCCCTACACCGGCCTTCCCATGTCCAACGACAACGGCGATGCCCAAGGTCGGACGGGGACATCTGTTGCCACACGAGCTCGCCCGAAACCTACACTTGATAATTTCCTCATCTCTGCAAGGATCGGCACGCCTCGCCTTATCAAACTTGCCGTCCGCGCCTTCTTTGGCTCTTGAGCTACGAGTGGACGAAGATGTCATGAAGAGAGCAGCGGAATGGGACAGCGAACTCAGGAGCATAGCGCCCAACGAGGATAAGGGCAGAGTCATCAGCGAGACAATCCCAGGCCGAACATCTTCGAAGAATGGAAAGTGCGGCTCCAGGGGGCATTGGGTGGTTCTTTCCACGAGCATGAGATACCCAAGGAAGCAACTCATAAATCAGCGTCACGAAATCAAGAACTCAACTGCCTTTTCGCATAATCCTCGATACCCATTATTATGAACATGTGCTTTGTACATTGCAATAACTTTTGTATGACCTCTATTCTAGGGTATGACCACAAACACGCCTCGAATCAAACACCAATGCGCGAGAACAAAGAAATGACCCGCAATCATCTCTTGCCAGCCTTGCTCGCCGCCTTCTTCTTCACCGACGCAACAAGCCGGCTCAACTCCTCATCATCGTCGCCGCCGCCAACCTTCTTGGCCTTCTTCGCCTTCTTGCCCTCCCTCTCCACAGGCACATCCTCCACGTCCCCGCCAGCCTTTCTCTTCTTGCGACCCTCCTCCAACAACTTCTGCATCGCCTCCGTGCCCTTGAACTTGGGGTTGCTGGGATCAATAGCGAACTCGTGGCTATCAAAGACGGCCTTGAAACGATCGTCGCCGACATCCATCTTGAAGTCCTCCTGCAGACCGAGCTTCTCGCCGTCGGCAGCCGCCTTCTTGGCCAACCGCTTCGCGGCCTTGCCCTTCTTCTTCTTGGCCTTCTCCGCCTTCATAATCTCATTCATGTCAAAGTGATCCAGGTGCTCCGCCCCATCCACGTTGTCGTCCGCCATCAGGAGCTCCAGCTGCTTCTTGTGCTCCGCCTTCTCCTTCTCCTCGGCCTCGCGCGCCGCGCGCTTCGCGAGACGCTCCTCCTTGCGGACGGAAGTCTTGGTCTTGACCGGCTCGTCGGTCGTGAAGAAGGGGTCGTCGAAGCCGAGGTCCTCCGCGCTGTCGTCCGCGACCTCGACCTCCTCGGCCTCCTCGGCGACGGGGGCGCCGGTCTTGCCCTCGCGTCTGGCGCGCGCGGCAATACGCTTGGCCTCCTTGCGCTCGCGTTCCTTGCGCTGGTACTTTTCGATCGTCGTCTCCTCCTCCTCGGGCTTCTTGTTCTTCTTGCTCTCCGTCAGAGCGGGCGTGAATGTAATCTCCATCTCACCGACGGGGGCGTTCTTGGATGACTTCTTCTCCTCCTCGGCGCCGAGGCCAAGAGCCTCTCGCATCTTCTGACGGGCGAGCTCCTTCTTGGAAAGCTTGGGCTTCTCGGCCGCTTCCTCCTCATCCTCGGCCTCTTCCTCATCGTCGAATCCCGCAAACTCCTCGCCGGAGTCTTCGCTGTCGCTGGCCAGGTAGGCCTTCAGGTCGTTCTCCTCAATCTGCGAACGACTTCCGGTGAAGGCGCGGTTGATGGAAGCCTTGCGGGCGGCATCATCGGGGTTGACGTCCCAGGTGAGCTTAACCTTGGAGTGCTGCAAAGCGTCGGTAGTGAACTCAACAGGCTTGTATCCCTCCGGCAACTTGTCGCATTCGTCTCTAGGCTCGTCGTCGAATGTGGTATCGTCGGGTACAAATCGCAAGTCGAGGAAGTTTGAAGAAGACGCGTATTCCGTGCCGTCGGTCGCCTCGTAGAGCTTCTGCGCTGTCGCCTTGTCAGAGACGGTCATGACAGCGTAGAAGTACCGCAGCCGATCCAGCTGGTACTTGCGCAGCGCGTCGTGGTCGAAGTCGTCGGCGTCACCCTCCTCCAACAGCTCCTTCTTGATCGCCTCGTCTTCCTCCTCGCTGTCCTCGCTCTCCTCTTCAGAGTCATCCTTCTTGAAAATGTCCTTAGGGGGTCCTTCCAGCTCCTCGCGCTGCATGCGCTCCTTGCCGAACTCGCTTGGGTAGACTGCAACCTTTTCGATGCGCCCGCCAGTTGAAGGCAAGAAGCTGTGAAAAAGAGCAAACAGATCGGCCGACTTGATGTTGTCCCAATCCAGGTTCACAATTGCTATCCGGTTCGTGACCTCGCCCTCCTCGACCTGTGCCTCTTCATCGCGCAGACGAGACACGGAAGCCTTGGGGTCAGCGACAGCCGTTTCTTCCTCGTCGGACTCGTCATCTTCAGATTCGGACTCCGACTCGGACTCGGAGAAGCCGCCGCCGCGAGCAGGGTCGTACTTGGCATCCGCCTTTGCCAGCTCGCGCTGGACAACATCGTCGGCCTCGACCTCGATGTCCTCACCCTCGTCTGAGTCTTCTTCGTCGTCCTCTGCCTCGTATAGGTTCTTCAGCGCCTTCTTCTTGTTGTCGGACTTGACTTTGCGGCCGTATCGGTCAACTTTTGGGCCGGATGTGAAGGATTCGTCCTTTAGTGCATGCGCGAAACGCTTGTCGATCTTGGTTTTGGTGTGCTTCTTCGAGGGAAGTCGGAACCGAGGGTCGGTCTCGAAGTTTGCGAAACGAGAGTCGGCGGCCTTGCCATTTTTGCCAGATTTGGAAGACATGGCGGCGGTGTTGAATTGGCAGTGGTGGAAAACGCCTAAATTTGCTGTCGCTAGTGCTTTGAGAAATGCCATCCAGGCGTGGGGTCGATGAAAATTTAGTGGGGCCTATATTCTGCCACTAGGGCGGTGAAATGCTATCGGTGAGACTCACCGAGTATTTTTTCCTCACCGAGACACCGAGGTAAGCCGCTCAGCATCTTGAGGTTATTCCCAAATTTGGAAACAGTGGGGTAGGCTTTCCATGGCATTGGTTCTTTCCCCAGGCAAGAGAATCACTTCAAAAGAGCGACCTCCTTCCCTCAATTATTCTGAGCTCTTTCCTATTGCCAGCCTGATCTGTTGCCGCCCTCCCAATGCTCCCAAGTCTATATAATGGACTCCTCTTCACTCACTCAACCTTGCCTCTCACTTCCCTCCTTCACACCAACTCACCGGTCTCACATTCCGCGCGCTTCAGAGATCAATCAAATCATTACATGGCTTCTCTTACTTACCCTCATCTATAACTCCACTCACTTTGCTTGAGGCATCCAAGTTGTTCAGTCCAAGCAACTCTTACTTGACTCAACTACAACAACACATCACAGAGCTTCATATCCCATCTCTCTTTCCTTGATCTCAACGAAAAGTAATTTGACTACTTGTTCTTTTCTTCTTTTTCACTGCAGCGACACTCTCGCATTTTTTGGTCAATGACCTAGTCTGGCCACACGATCGAACGAATGAGTCTCTTCATTTAAGAGTCTTAGAACATACTGCACAAGCCGTCATGGATCCTTCCGAAGAGAATGACTGGGGCATTGCAGAATCAGACAGAGAAGCATCGCAGTCATCGCACACTACACTGGGCCGTGACGTCGATTTCGCAGCCTCTGATCAGCACGACGGGGATCTATTCGTCAAACAAGAGGGATATACAGACAGATTCGTACTCGATGCACCAGGTTCAGACTGCGAGTCAGGCTACGAGTCGCTTAGCGATAGCGAGTACTCCGATGATGGCTCTGAGTCGGAGATGAGAGAAGAGGGTCACCAGGTTACACCGAAACCGACGACGAACCTCAAACCCCAGAAGAGGAAGAGGGCCCCAAGACGAAAGAATGCCAGAGATTACGTCGAGAGAGTGGTAAACGATAAGATTCTAAGAAGCCTAAGAAATGAGGTACGAAAGGAACTCGCCAAGAAGAGGCCGATCAGTCATGAACTTTTAGACATTGTGCCTCCGAAGGCCAAAAGACCGAGAAGAACGAGGGAGATGAACTCAAACGCAATGCCGACGACCAGTCACCCCCCTGAAGCGTCTCAGGATGCTATCAAGGCTCCTTCAATTTGTTTACCTCTTAGTAAAATGACAAAGGTTTCGAGCGCAGCGAGGCAAAGAGACATTTCTCAGAGGAAGAATACTGGAAACGACAATCGCCGGAGTGGCACCCAGGGTCGGGACGTCAACGAGGGTAGGAAAGTCTTCGGGCATGGCATGATCGAGTCCTACACAGATTTGGCGAACAACAGCCGCCGCTACGGCCTTAAGGGCATGGTCAAGAGCACAAAGCTTATTGAGTGGCAATTAACGCCAGCTGCGTGGATGGTGAAACGGGAAAATGGTCTCGCACCGCCGTACGGCGGTGTTCTGGCCGACCAGATGGGCATGGGAAAGACGATGGTGTCCTTGGCGTGCATCGTCGGCAACCCTCCTACGAACGCCTCATCGGACGGGTTTTCTGGGGCGACCTTGATCATCGCACCCAAAGAGGTGGTTGCGAGGCAGTGGCAGCAAGAGATTTCCGCTCATGTGGAATGCATCGGCCCTAAGGAGGTTTACTATTATAAACGCAAGATTCATGCAGCCTCTGGTGGCGACATCTCGCGTTACAAGATCGTGTAAGTCACGACTTCCCTGCATTCTTAGCCTTGCTGACACTTAGTCACCAGCATCACAACCTACCAGGAGTTGGTGCTCAGCCTTCCTTCTGATCAAGTCATGAGGAAACTCAAGAAAGACTGTGAAGAAGGGGAAGATTTTGAAAAGGCTTTTAGAGAAGTAGCCGGCGAAGTTTTCTCGGTCAGGTGGTACAGGGTCATCTTAGATGAGGCCCATGAAATCAAGAACACAAACACGAAGGCTATGTTCTATCTTCCACGGCTCCATGCCGTCAATCATTTGAAATTTGTATACTAATGATACAATGCATAAAAGTCTTCAATGCTTGCAACTTTTTAACGACCAAAAACATATGGCTTCTCAGCGCAACGCCTTTGATTGACAAAGCAGATAAAGGTTTGAGGCGATCGCAACTCCACCGTTCCATTTATGCCCTGTAACATAAGATGATCCCGCTGACGCATGGCGCAGAAACGTTTTCTATCGTCAAGACGCTCCGAGTTGAGAACATGAAGACGAAAGAAGACTTCAAAGCCGCGTTTCCGGAATCGGTGAGTAATTGCAATATCTATACGTTGTGAAATCATCTAGAGGTACTAATTTGTGGTACTACCCAAAGTCAACTCAACTTGACGCCCTGATGTACGTCTGCACCTACAGACGGTGAGTAGTTTACAGCAATATAATCGGCGCAGATATCAGATAATAACTTTCGCAGGACTGAAAAAGATGAGTTCCTCGGCGAGCCAATCCTTAGGAACATGGCGCCCTTCAAAACTGAAGTCAGATGGGTTGAGCTATCCAAGCAAGAAAGGTTGGCCTACGAGTAAGTCAGAAGCCTACCTAAAAGGAACAACATCTTCGAGTTCACAACACCTAACGCTGCTTGCAGTCTGATGACAGAAGCTTACGGTAAGTCTGAGGATAAGGAAATCAGCAAGAAACTCAAAAGCATTCGTACGACTCGCCAGAGACAGTTCATTTCACACCCCTATGGCATCGAGAAAGGCCTCAGGACGGAGCTCGCACCTGAACTACTAGAACATATGTTCAACAGTCTGGGAGTCTTCAGCGACGGCGTGGCCGGGGATGGTGTCCCAATGGGACAACAACTTTCCCTACGATCTCTAATTCGTTACACACATAACGAGGCTACGATGAGCTTCAACAAGTGTGGCATTTGTGGAATAGGGAGCATTGAAGAACCACAGATCATCGACACAGTGAGTTGCTTCACCGTTTGCTCTCTGTGTGAAACCTCTGATATACTAATAGTTTGTTCCTCAGTGCAACCACGTTTTCTGCCGCGACTGTCTTCGAGACACATGGCAATTCAAAGCAAAGGAGGGCGTCTGCCAACAAAAGGGCTGCAAAACCGACTACGATAAGGAGGTTGATGTCAGAATGGTCATGACCCTCGCCACCAAGGAGGCTGAATGCGACAGACTGGATGAGACCGAGGCCGCAGCAGACCCATCATCGTCAGCCCAGACTCTGTCTTCTGGTAGAGGATTGAAAAGAAAGAAAACTGTTGGCAAGCCTTCGCAGGTGGCAAGAGAAAGGCAAATGAGGGCATTCATCAACAAGAAGTACGGGGCTGATTTCAATGGCGTGCTCCCAAAACTTGCAGACGAAGGCATTTCCTTCATCAAGCAAGGAATGCGAGAGAACGAAGGCAAGATGCCTCTCGGCACCAAGCTCACTGTGGCAATGAACCTGATCGTTCAGTACCAGCAAGAGCGAATCAAAGTTTGGGACAAGAATGATATAAACCAGAGAAGATACGAGATCCAGAGCCCAAAAACCATCGGTAAGTCCCTACTAAGCCACTCCCCGAGTTGGGTTCCTCTCGAATAATGAGTTTTGGCAGGCTGACATCATGACAGTCTTCCACGAGTTCACCAAGACTGCCGTAGCTTTGGGTATAGCTTTGAACGCCAAGGATATTACATTTGTCTACCTCAATGGGGGCTTGACAGAGACTCAGAAGAAGAAAGCCATCGATGCCTTCCAGGAGAACAAAGATATCAAAGTCTTGGTAAGCGCCTCTGCAATTTGATCTGCTCAGCCTGCCCGCAACATCATACATGTTACGTACTGACATGATCGTGCTAACTCACTTTCCAGATCGCATCCTTCAGAATCGGCGGTCAAGCTTTGAATCTTACTTGCGCAAGCAAGATCATCCGCATCGACTCGTGGTGGAACGAGTCGGCTGAGAAGCAGGCCGACGGCCGAGTCCACCGCGTCGGCCAGATGCAAGTTGCGTCGTCGGTTGACATAAAGGTCAAGGATACCGTCGATGATCGCATCTGCGAATTGCAGGCCGCGAAGTCCGAAAAGATTGATCATTGCCTCCAAGATGACGGTCATAGCATCCAGCTCTTTAGCGAGCTTGAACTCATCAAGTTGACAGCTCCACAGCGATACAAGGAGCTGGTCGAGTTGCAGCTTGGCGTTATCAGAGAAGAAGATGCTGCGGAGAGAATTTGGGTCCCGAGCTGAGACTTGGGCGTAGAGGGGTTGACTACAATTCTTCCATCTTTCGGTCGTTGACGAAATGGGCTCATACATCATTGGCATCACGGAGTTTCTGATTTTCATTATCTTGCACTAATTCCCGATATATTTACACATTTCATAGAGCAATTCCCATAGACACTGCGTCAGACACATCGAACTAGATTGAACTTTCAGGCTGGTCACTCATTGAAAAAAACAAAAAACATTTACATGCTTGAAGAACCATGTGAAAGTTGCCGAATAATGAAATACATGTTCGCAAATAAGGCCGATTACTTACACAACTATGCCGGGCCCAATCCGTTCTGCGGGAGAAAGAAAATCAAGGCTCGGCATCTTGGTAGCTATCGTGCAACACTTACAAAGATAGTTTCCCCGTTCGGACTCGACTCCGTCGGACGTGCCCTCCGGCCTCGGTTAATTCGGGTAACGGAAGCAGCTGTGAAAAGGGGTGACATCACGAACGACAGGTCTGTGACTCATTCCGTCCTCGAAGGTAGTCTTGGACACAGGGGTTTCCCTGTTCTGTCGATGTCTCCATTCATAGGGCTGGGTTGGCCCAAGCCCGGTCTACGGAAGCCGTTCGCAAAAGGCGTTGTCCTCAGAGGACCATCCTGCACTCACTAGATTTCTCCGTGGGGGGCATTAAAAACGACAAAAAAAAAAGGTAAACGAGGCAGTGACCGGTCATCTGATGATCTCCATGATCATGAGTGTGGCCATGGCGTTGCCATAGCTCCCCCACAATGAGCCCAGTTATAAGATGATTTGAGTGCTGGGTTCTTTGTGAAACGGTAGATGTCCCGGGTAGTATTGGATGCATAGTTTGGACTCGGCAAACCGGGGCGGCGAGTTGAAGTTCGTCTGAAAAAACGCGGGTAACGATAGGCGCGCGACTGGTCATTGTACGTAACTGGACCCATGCCAAGAACAAACAACGTTCGCGCCAAATACTCTTTGACAACAGAGAGACATCTCGTCCTACGAGTGTTGTATCAACATTGCCCTTTGAGGAATGTCTAACGAAGCTTCCAAGATCAGATTTCTGCCTCCTTCAAAGCAGCGAGAACGCAAAACTTCTTTCTGCTCGTAGATGACGGCACGGTACGAGGTCAAGTTGCGACAAGGAGAATATCGGCGATCGCCTACATACGAAGTAAGCAATACCCAAGTCGGCAAGACCGTAGAGGTTGATCGAAACACCCGTGTGAAGATGTTTCTTGCTGGCAAGAGTTTGTGCTAGTTGAGTCTGCCTACATAGCTTCTAAAGGCTGCATGGAAGGGATTTGGTGAGGTTGGCAAGTAAAGCATTAAAATGCCAAGACCAGGATGCGTGCTGTTTGAGCAGAGGTGGCGCATGATCTTGGGCATTAGCCAGACTGTATTCATTGATCTTCAAGTTTGGTCGCACGTGTCCGAGCCTCGATTTTGAACTCGGAAAGTTGAGTCGCTTCGGGACTACGGGATAACCTAGGTTGCTCAACTCAAGTGTGCTCAGGTGTTGTAGGAGGTCCTGCCAGAACCCTCCGAGGTATGAATAGGGCCGTCATCTGAGAGTTTAGATGGTTGCGAGCGGGTAACGGTTTTCTCAAACGAACTCAGAGGGCTTACAGGTTGCAACAGGTCAAAGACCCGACATGCTTACCGGCTTTGCCCTCTAAGTGGCTGAACGGCGAACGCGGACTAGACCTTCCAAGCTACCCCGAAATGGAGCTGCCCATAATGTCCGTTCGCAAACGTATTCGCCGTGCAGAATATCGGTTTCGGTCTTTCGTAACGCTAACCTTGGAGGGGCGTCAAGCACAGCCAGGGAAGATGGACATAGAGGAAGAGTAATTATCCGCGTATGTGAAGGGCGTGATGACAACATTGAATTCGGACGAATGGTCCCCCACAGAACCGATAGGAGCGCCAGGACAAAGTAGTCAGGCGCCACGTCGACTAAGATGCTCTGGGTCAGGACTGGGATAGTTATAGGATATTTACAGTTTCCCCAACCTCCGCAGGATTACAAGACCTCGGGGTCGAAAGGAAGCCGAGATGGATACTTAGGAAGCGCATGAATGACGAATAGTGTCCTGCTGGGTAGTAAGTTGGTTGAGGAGAGCCCAAATATGTGCGCCTGACTGCTTGGAGCGGGTTGTGTGTTGGTTGACTGGCAGGGACAGCCTAACCTGGCTCACCGACAACAATGGTCCAAGTCCCGGAATGAAGGTTAAGCTTTCCATCACCGACCAGGATGGCACGGCTCGAGTGGGAATAATCGATGCAATCAGCCAATCATGGGAATGTTGCGCAAGCAAGATCTGGACGATGCTCGGCAGATGGCGATTTCAGCGTTAGACAAGGGTCGGCGGGCAACCAAATTACCCCGTTTGAGCAAGGACTGCGGGAAGAATGAGCCCGGTTCAGGTGCTTGCGTGGTGGTAAACGCCCGAATATGGCACCAGCTAAATCGGGATTGGGAATACCTAGGCTCAGGGTCAGGGCGACGGTCTGCCACGACGCTGCGTGGAGGCGGAGAGCGGCACATAAGAGGTGTCTGTTCCTTTTCCGACACGTGTTGCGCAATTGACAATTGACACCTGAAGGACAGACACCAAAGGCTTTGCTTTTCGTCCAAAGGATTTTAAAAGTCGGACCCAGAGCTAAAAGAGGGTAAATTTGTCTTCGTATTCCTAGGCACATACTGCAGGCTACCGTAGGCGACCGCAGGCGGTTTGAAAGGGCAAAGGCTAACAGATGGGGTCAGAGCTTTTTTGGATTGTTGGTCCACAGGATGACCGACGCGAGCGAGAGTGGTCTGCATTTCTTCGGTGATGGTGTGCGGGTGACGAAAGCATACTGAGTAGCGTTGCATGTAATGACCCTGCTGAGGCACGATAACCAGATGGCGCTGAACATACCCGTCTCATGGTGCGGTTTCCGTAAATTCAATCTCGATAGCAGCAAGCCATCATGTGACTGTAGAGCCTGTTCCTATTGTGTTAGGACGCACACTGCAACATGCGAGAAAGTAGGTACCTAGCTAGGTAGGGAGATTATGTCGGCGTGAAGAGAACCAAGATAACCCCAATGGCGCCGAGACCTGTCTCGCGCTTGTGTTCTCGGCTCAACAGACTGTCTGCATCTGCAACTCACAAGAGATTGCGAACTGGGCTGGAAGGACGAACCAGCCCACATTTGATCCAATGGGCGACGGAAATGGTGGTCATGTCTTTGTCGCTGTCGGCTACAAAGTTTGGAGAGGGAGGAATGTGGTGCTGGTTGTCCCATCGAAAAAGAAAAATACGGACGTAGTCCTGTTCCCAAAACACAAGAACCCAGAAGGGGGAACACAGGGCATGGTGCCTAGCGTCTCGGATCGGTAGCCATACCAACGACGAGGATGGGGTGGACGGGTAGTTGATACCCTACCCAGCTTGCCAGGATGTCATGTATGGATATGTGCACTTTGGATTGACGCTTCGGATAACGTACAGTAGATACGTTTCGCTTGAGCTAGGTACGCCGGCCAAGTTGCCGTCAGAGATGAAGATGGCCGTCGGCGCCGTCCTTGGTCAGTTGTTGCTGCTGCCAGCGAGGCGCGGAAACGGCGGTGTTTCACCGCCCCTGGAGATCGTGAAGTGCTTCAAGATGACTCGGATCAGCGAGATCAGATGCCTCGAAGAAATTATGGATATGCCGCCGATAGTCCAAAAAAATCGGAGCCGATTAGTTGTCTGCAAGGTGGTGAGGAAGAGGGAGACAACAGTCCCTTGGATGAAGTTCGGAGTCGGTGAGTAGGAGCTGAGGAGCGTACGAAGTACCTTGGCTTACTCATGGGGTGTCTCGAGGTACGTAGCCAAGGTACCCCCGTCATTCCAGCAAGCGAACAGCATCCGTCATTGTTCCTCACCTCGTTGGACAGACCAGACAGGGGGTCGATCTCTTCCCGTGGCTCGTGCTTCACATGGGGCATCGGATGCGACGCTCGGGCCAGCCACTGCAAGGCAAGTACCTAACATGACAAGGACAGGGCAAGAGCATGAGCCGGGCAGGAAGATGAAATAAGGCTCTGCTTCTTATTCTTGTTCGCCATATTACTGTGTCCCTGGGCCTTGAAAGGTACGCTCAGTACATGATATGATGTAACAATGAATGCAGCGAAGAGAGCAGTAATAGCGGTAGTAATGGTGGTTAGACGCTCGCTCAAGTTTAAAATGCCGGGTGATGGCGGCAGATCATGGCAGGGAAGGAAGGAGGGCATGTGAACCCCAAGAACGGTAGGCAAGTGCGTCCAATGCAAGCGGCTGCCCCGTGCAACAAGCAAGGAGCAACTGCAGGCACATCTCGTCTCCTCGGAGCTAGGTCTTTCTTCATCATCTTCAGGTGAAGCACTTCAGCGCCCAGGATGGAAGTCTGACAAGCCGATCATCAATACGATCCCGAGATGCTACTGATGGGCGGAAGACTGAGCGCTATGCGGACCAGCCTACCAGGTGTATGAGGAAGTCTGGTTGGTGTTCAAAGCGTTGAGGGCCGGCTCTGGTGTACCTGAGGTTAGGGACCTTACCTCAAGAGATATTGCCCATTCTCTTCTAACCTAATTGTGCCCATTCGTACCTGCCTCATATCTATTCGTTCCTTCTGTAAGGTATAGGTGCGCTGTACGAAGTACGTATTGGTTGGTTAGTGGTGCCTCTTGGACAGATGGAAAAAGGAAAGGGAAGCGCATCTCGTGCCCTGTGCACCGTGACCTGCACCTGCAGCTCTACGAACAACCACCATGGAAGGCAAGAACCTAGGCTACCTTACCTCATGTCTCTCCTTCCTGCTCACGTTGCTGCAACCTCAGCTCCTGCCCGTCGTCCCTAGGTAGGTAGTCAGCTCAGCTCTGTCCGTATAAAAAGGTACATTGGCTGCGCCAGCTCCTGCCTCATTTCTGGGGTTGCTTGGTTCTTGCCGATCATGAGCTGTTCCCGCCCGTGCTCCTTGCCTCGGCCATGTGCCCGTCGTGCCTTCCAATTATCCCACTTTAGAATCCCGTGCCACTTGCGCATTCTCTCCATCTGTGACACCGCATCGCACCCTCCAATCCATCTCACCAACTCACGTTGCGTCGAGACGGGATCTTATTTTCACATTACAATGCAACTGCGCATCTTCACGATCCGCCATGAGCACACATTTGTTACCGTAATGTTGCCGCGGCCCTCGGGGCTTTTCGATACATGCTTTGCACACGTCAGCATCAGTGCCGGGCCTTTACCGAGCCAAGCGCTCATGGCTCCTCCGTCTCAACCTGGCGCTCCTCTATCCAATTCTCTCCATACAACGCCAATCGGCGCATCCGTTGCCCGTTTTCGGCTTCAACCTGAAGGGATGGTTGAATATACAACGTCCCGTCCACGTCACCTGGCAAACCGCAAGTTCGGGAAACGCACCGCTAGAGAGTCCCTGCGCACCCGTCAAAGCCACACCTCCTGTCTTGACTATTCCTGCGTTCCTCTACCTCTACATCTCTACTGAGCTCGATCATCACTACGTTCGAACGGGCTTGGTTCTGCACAAGTTGCTTTGTTATGCAACGCGCGTACAGACTCTGTCTTTGCGGACCACCACATACACAGCAATATTGCCTCGACCACCAGCTGAGCTGTTCCCTTCATAGCGAAGCCAAGGAGTGGACGGTCCCCATCCCCCACCATCATGCCGGCACTTCTACCTCTACCCACAGATTACCAGGCGTTCAGTGCCGTTCCCGGGCACAGGGCAGCGAAGGTCAAAGTCGCTCAGCGACGGCCATTCCGCATCCGTGGATGAACTTAGATCTGGTTATGGCCATCGCGTCACTGTCCCATCAACCACTCAGTGACATTCATGTTTTGGAATGTTTCCAACCCGACGTGACTTTAGCCGACGGCGGCTGACGGGCGAGATTTCCGCCAAAATACCTACAAGCTATAACGGCATTGGTTGGCCGGGTTTCTTGTCCCTCTTGCCTCACCGCATCCAGGCCCGATTTCGCAAACGAAACTCTCGTTAAACCAAAAACTACTCGCTAGGTGGTGCTTGTGGTTTCCGCCATTCGTCACTTGTCTCGGTTCGCTGAAGCTAGTCATGGGCCTGCTTAGAGCTCTGCTGATGAGCAAACTCGACCAATACCACCAACAAGGCAGAGCAGAGCACTTGCATACTGTTCGGCTGTCTGCTGCATAGGGCGAGGTTGTCGGCACCTTTCTGACCATACGCATCGCATCGTGAGAAAGTCACGGCTGTCCTGGGGATCACACGGAATGGGCGAATGCACATCGTCATCACTGATCGTCACCTCGTTGTTCCCCCATCCGCCCACATCGCTGCTTACCTCAGTTTGGTACCATCACCTCAGATGCATAACCGCCCTGTTTGGGAAACAAACACGCTTTTTGCTTTTTGTTCAACAAGCGCCTGGCGAACCAGACAAGAAAACGAGTCCAGTAGACCCAGACTGCTAGCCCGCCATCCGACCCAACCCAGCCGCTTTGCAGTGCTCCTTACCCCTGTGCCGCCGACTATACGGAGTACCAGCAAGTGACTTGTCTCTTTCATGTCTCTCGTTTTGCTGAGGTCGCCGACCCCCAAACCAGCGAGGATTATAGGTAGCAAACGCCCCCCTATTGTCTACCCCCCTCGGCTCAGCAGTACCTATCAACCACCAAACTCTTACACTCTGCCACACACCGACGCCAACGAAGTCAAGCTCGAAGCATGCTGGCTCGCTCGACAGACGCCCTCACCGCTCTCCACGCCCCCAATCACACGATCGACGCACAAACACACAGACACCACCACACCGCACCGGATGCCTATTCCCTTGGCCGCCTGTTTATTGGCCAAGCTGACATCCGCCCAAAAGCCCCAAATCACGACGCTAATAGCCTGTCTTGCTTTTTTGAGCGCCTCCGACCCCCGTCTCCCCTATTCGCGGTCAAATGTCTCGCCTGCGTCCGTCCCTTTTTAAGCTTCTGTCGCCCTTTCCTGAGCGACAATCCGATACCAGGCGGAGGACGGACCTCATATTCCACAGACCCTGCTCATTGAAGGCTGAAGGCTTACCAAAATAGGACTTACGTACCATCACCTTTTCCCTATAACCACCAACCTATCCTCTCCCACAACCTCTGGCCATCTGACGAGAAGAAGGAAATTTGTATCTCCCAGCCAATCCAACATTCAACTTCCATCCTGGTCCGTACACGACCGGAAATTTCCCCCGCAAGACCGTGGCTCGGGTAATCGCTGTACCCAAAGTTGTAACTGTTTTCGGTCATCGAGGCAAACAAAGCACCACGGAAACAAAGTTTCGCCCACTGATCTACGAATATCTTAAAAAGGGCCGGCCGATCACGAGAGGGGGATCTACGGACATCGAAGCGAGCGTTACACATTGCAGGGAAGCTGAATGACGGGTCAAAAAACGAGCACATCGCAGATACCCGCAGTTGGACAAGGACAAAAATCGAGGGGCATACAAGCAGATTCGCAGCTTCATCGCCGACTTTACAAACGCCAACACCAAGCACGAGGGTCGTCTAAGTGGTCACGATCATATCATCATGAGGAATCCGAAGCCTCCCACGTAAAACGAATCATCCCGCCGACTCCAAGGTTACGTCCGGTGTCCAGGAAACCACAGCCGTCATGGCACCGTGGCCCCGCGCACTGGACAACATTGGTGCATCACAATCACCAGCTGCGTCGCCGCCCGAAGTTATCAGCAGCCGTATAGATACGGCTTATACCCGCATTCCCGATGGGTTGACCGATCACCAGTGGACGATTATTCAATCCACGTCACTTGCTGCCGCTGCATTGAGTTTTGCGTCTGTAACTTTCGCCTTTTACTGGTTTTCTAGGAGGAGGCGTAGCTTCAGACATGAGTGAGTAACGTTTAATCGGGGGTGCATTGCCTTCGCTGGACAAAGCTATTCGCACCAAGACGGAAAACGGGCATTGTACTGACAACTTGACAGTCTCATTATGCTGCTCATGTCGAGTGACATGCTGAAATCGCTGTGGTTCATCATATTCCCAATCGTCGACTTCAAAAGTGGTCCAGTTGCCTCGAGGTCATCATTCTGCCAAGCCAGCGGCTTCTTCCTCGCAGTCGGCATAGAGGCATCGGACATTGCTGTTGTGCTTATCGCTTTGCACACAGCCATTTACATCTTCCGACCGCGGCATTCCGGGCGACAGAGTGGATTGTACCCCCACCGTCGTCTTGCCTTCAGCGCTTTTGCATTCTTCCCACTTTTGATGGCTTCATTGGCGTTTATCAACTGGCCCGGCTACGTCAACAACGGGGAGTACTGTTACCTGCCCGCCCGCCCTGAATGGGCAAGACTCGCCCTGAGCTGGGTTCCCCGCTACATGATCTTGCTCACCATTGTTGCGCTTTACGCCTACATCTATATCTATGTCACTCTTCGCATGCGGCGTTTCGGTCGACTTAGTGCCATGCGACGTGCGAGTGCAACACATATGTTAGACGATGGGCAGTGGGCCCATATTCCATCGGTGCCAGCCACCCCAACATCACGCCGCGGGTCGGAAACCTCGGTGGAAGACTCGGATCAGCAACGTACCTCTTCCACAAACACTACTATGACCACCGAGATTGAGCTTCTCCACAGCCGGCAGAAGATTCAATGGAACTGGCCGAGCTATGGAAACGAGGACGATGGCCGCATCCCGGAATCCAATGATAATGTCTCCCCCCGTGCATTCGAGGCCAGCACAAGTCCACTTTCCACCAACTTTGAACCTATTTCGCCTCCTCCGCAAAGCTACATACGCCGGGATACGGTCGACTTGAATCCGGCCCAGACACAATATGATCACGGAAGCTTCAGCACTCAGTGGCAACCACCCAGCAGCCCAACAAGCGCCCGAGCCAAGTCGCTCGCCAACATCTGGTCAATCCTCCGTCGAGGCACCTCTCTCGACTCTGACATAGACCACAACAATACTCCCTTTCTTTACCATCCTACTATTGACGGCACAGGAATGGCAAAGACTCGCGACAAGATTCGTCGCCAGCTGCGACTACTTTTTGTTTACCCACTTGTATACATACTCATTTGGGCGGTTCCTTTTGTCGCCCACGTCATGCGCTGGGACAACCCAGAGCAAGCTGGCCCCTTCGTGGTTGTGCTTTTATCACTTGTGAGCCTGTCGATACAGGGTCTTGTTAATGCATGTCTATTTTGTGCCGTAGAGAAGCCGTGGATAGACACGCAAGCCAGACATCGGAGGACGCCTTCTAAATTACGGCGGGATAAAGACGAAGCCCGGCAACGGGCAGGAAGGAGAACATCGTTAGCGTAGTCATTTTTCGCCTTGATACCACATGAACTGAATGAACAGATATCATTATCACACTAGACCGATTTTTGATTAATTCCCCGATCATACTCTGGTCGCTATGCTGTGCTCGGCGGTGGGGGGTTCATTTATCGGCAGCATCGGAGATGCGGACCCACAAACTCCGGCGCAGGAGGCCTGCACGCGCGGCAAGTTCGGTCCTTCGGCCCCATTAGCGCCGTAGGAGCTAAGGACCGAAGTATGCAATGATGCCGACATATTTGCGACAGTGGTGAGACGTCCACCAAGACTGCAAATGCCGGCACAAGAAAACGCCAAGTTTGCATATAAAGGTGTCCGACGCGGGGAATCGGCGAAGAATTGAATACGATTGAATACGAGAAGTCTATTTTGAAAAGCAGTCTATGCGTTATGTGAGAGACGATGGCTGAAGCTGTTCTCCATGTCTCCTGAGCTCATTATTTTAGAAGAATGTCTCTCTGACCTCCCTTATAGCTTCTTTGTTTCCTCATGTAAAAGCTCTCCGCGCCTCTATCATTGGCATCAAGCTGTCCATCCCGGGCTGTCCTTTCCACGCGCAGTCCTTCCTCATCCAGGGTGCGTAAAATTCTATCGCCTTGCCAGAATAGACCAATCTTCTTATTTCGTAAAGTCTCGGCGTGTCCCAGGATGTCCAAGTTTGGCTGGATATGTCCCTCGGACATGTAGCACCTTCTTGTGGTGCGTTCAAAGATGCATGTTGTAGAAATCAGAAACGTGTCGCAAAAATGAAGAGATAACGAGATGCTGCTTGCATCATGTCGCGCCGTGTCATATGGGCGCAACTCCAAGCTCTGATCTTGGTCCAAGTGCGTGGTTATTCTCGGTCGTGGAGCTTCACTCCTCTTCCGACTCGTCAGAAAGGGAGCCCATCTGCTCCCGAATCGCCAACCTGCGACCCCCCAACTCCTCGTCTTCGTCGTCGGGGACAACAAAACCTTCAAGGTCTTCCTCTTCTTCCTTATCAGATTCGTTTTCTTCGTCATCTTCTCTGTCGCTGTCATCCTCATCGTAGTCAGCCGAGACGTGATGGATGACTCCGTCTCTCATCGTGACTCTGCCGAGAAGGCTAGCTATATCCTGGAGGCTAATCTTGGGCGCCCTGGTCGTGTCATCTTGAAGCGCAGCGTCAATAGAGAGGATCTTGTCAGCCTGCAACTGTAGCATGCGCTGCTCAATCGGCGTATCGACGATGAAGCGCACGAAGTGGGTTTCTTTAATCTGACCGATGCGGAAAACCCGGGCGAAAGCCTGCTGCTCCACGGCGTGGTTCCACCAGAGCTCAATGAGGATGACGCGGTTTGCCCGGGTCAGGTTCAGACACTGGCCGCCTGCGCGAAGCGAGACAATGAGGACCTTGATTTTGTGGCCATTCTGGAACTCATCGACGGCCCTGTTGCGCTGCTCGGTGGTCTGACTCCCGCTAAGGTAGGCAAAGTCGATTCCTTCCGCTTCGAGCATGCGGCCGACGATCTTCATGACGACGTTGAATTGACTGAAGACTAGAAGGATTTAGTCAGACATCTAGGAAGCATAAGAAATTGAGATGCGAGGGGGTACATACTAATAATCTTGTCGTCTGAGGCTTCGGCCTGCCATCTCAAAACTGTCTCCTTCAATGCCGTCAACTTGGCACTGGAGGTAAGAGGCAGATGAGGATTTCTATCTGCCACTTGCAGGAATCTGACTGCATGCTTATCGTCCTTGTCATCCTCGACATGCTGAAATCCGGTGCAGTCGAACCCTTTGGCGTACTCCTTATCATTAGGGGCCTTCGTGGCAGACTCTGCATCTCCATCGTGGTTGTCGTCGAATGGCGTGAGTGGCTTCGGAAGGCCTATGATCCTGCGACACTTTGGACAATTCCTGCTCTTTTACCGACCTAAGTCAGCAATAGAAAAGATCCTAGGGGTGCAGAAAGTTCATACCTTCAGTGCGAAGTGGGACACAACGCAACTGGAGCAGAAGACGCAACCGCACTTTGATTCATGTTAGCTATGTAGACTCTGTAGAAGATTATGTCGGCGCGTTCGACTACTCACTTTGCCCTTGACAGGATTCGCCGGGGGCTTTTTGCGACAAACTACGCACTGAGCCTTCTTCATCTCCATGACCTTTTCCAGGTACTCGAGTTGCTTAGACATATCAAATGCTAGACCGAAATCACTATGACCGAAAGGCTGGAGTCGGTCTTCCTCCGCCTCGACGTCCGAGGACGCTGAATTCTCCGACTGTTCTCTGGGAAGAAGAAAACTCTCTGGTACCAGGCCATCCTCATCCTCTTCTGCCTCGTCTTGGCTGTCGACTTCGTCGCTGTCATCGGCTATCATGATAGTACTCTCGCCGGCTTTGGACTGGGGATGACTTCTGCCAGCGACATTGCGGTGATCTGGCTCTATAGTCTGGCTCTCGTGAGCGTCGAGTAGCTCTTTGCTGTCATCTAGAATCTGTTGCTGACTGCGCCGGTATGTTTCCTCAATGACCTCTCTGATGCGCTCGCTGGCAATATGGTGCCTCTGAGTCCAAGAGCCGATCTGGTCGTAGACAGTGCTACCGCCTTTGAGCTCCTTCAGTTGTTTGCGAGTTGCTTCCAAGTCACGCTGAGTGAAATACTCTGCCATCATTCCTTCGAGCAAGAAGGGGTGGGTAGAAGCCTGGCGTAATCGAAGTAGCATGACGAGATAGCACCTCAGTTGTTTCGAAGCCTCCCCGGTCTCGATGTCGTGATTAATTTTCCGACGGAAGCAGGCCTCCATCATCCTGGCCACTATCAACAACTGAGTCGTGTCTGAGGAGCGTTTTTTTCACTCACCTGAATATGACCATTTCTTCCATCGAGAGTCTAAGGTACTGATGAGTGGGATTGGTAGTAGGCAGGTTTAGGATTGGTTGACCCATGAAGTAATCGCCTTGAGTTCTGGTGGAATGGATAAGCCTGCAGTTCTTGGAGTTTCAGGGTAGTGATGTTACCTTCTGTACATAACCTCATGAATGAGTTTGTTATGCTTCACTCGGCTTTGAGTCTGATAGAAGTCAGTATTTCCACCTACTTCTACTGCTTCAGGAAAGCTGCCTACCCCTGGGCGATACTCGCTCTCGTAGTCGCTGAACTCCTCAATTCCGTCGCATCGAATGAATTTCAGGTAGGAGAAGAACTCTGTGAGGTGTGAGAAGTCTCTCCTGTCATCTAACGACGATATTCTAGACTCACCAGTAGCTGCATTGATGAGCGGTGTTCCGCTAACTGCCCAGCGGTGCTTGGCTTTGAGTTCGAAGCACGAGAATGCAGCTGCAAATTTCAGAAGTTAGCAAGTGAACTTGGACAACCAGTCGACAGCTCCTTACAGTGAGTGAGGTGATTTTTGATTGCATGAGCTTCATCAAGCACCACGCGGTGCCATTCAATTTGGTGCAAGACGCCGGTGGACTCTTGCAGCCACTCCTGATATTTCTTTGGGTCGACAATCTTCTTCAGCATTTCAAGCTTCTCCTTGGCATTAGGGATGCTGTCCCGGATTTGGTGGTAGCTAGCGAACCTGTGAACGATCATCAATCAACAAGGAGCACGCACGTTGTAGTACCGTACTCACACCATGTTGAAGGAAGATAACTGCTCAATATCCATCTTGTTACCGATTTTGAAATGGATGATGTTCTTGGAGAACTTTTTGTCGCAGTGCTTCTTGACTTCGGACATCCATTGACTGATCATCTGTCCTGAAGGAACAACCACCAATGTTGCTCCCTTCCCGTCTTCTTGGAGCATCTCCGACGCCTGGTTGCCCACAATGCAGGAAAGGGTCTCGATGGTCTTTCCTAAGCCCATGGCGTCAGCAAGAATGCCTCCTCTGGGAAGTTTGGGCGTTCCCTTGAGCTCACGACCCATCATCCAAGCGCCAACAATGAGTTGATGGTGGTGCATCAGAGACTGCAGGCCTCTGACCTCCCAGAAGCCGTCCTTGGCGCGAACAGCGCGCGGTCCCCACGCTTTGGTTGCTTCCAGAAGTTCTCTTTTCTGACGATCCAAAAACTTGGGCTCAAAGTACTCAGGTGCAGATTCTCTCATTTTCTTCAGTTGGTCTGCTCTCGTGGTCGCGATGATGACTGGCGCAGCTGTCAAGTCACCGGCTTGCGCTCGTTCCTGGATCGCATCTATTGGACGAAGCAGCGCTTCGATCTGGCGCTCAATTCTTTTGTTCTCTCTCTCATCTCCAGCAGTATTTGCATTTTTCAGAGTTCTCGCGCTTTTGGTAGCGCGTGAACTGCGCTGAGATGCCCCGGATCTCTTCTGTCCTCTCGCATCGCGGTTGCGGTCCTTGTCTTCCTGTCGAGCCCAGTACTCTGCCGCACTTTTGATGCGAGGGTACGATTTCTTCTTCGATTTCTTCTCATTGCCTTCAACTAATGCTTGATCCATATTGGCTGCAGGGAAGGATACCGCCGTTGGCGCGTTGTTGCTGATTTTGACTTCTTCTTGAGCCCGGCTGAGCTGAGTGATGATCTGGCACATTTCCGATAATTCTTCCGTGCTCAGAGCACCTTTGATTGCTTTCGATTGCAATTCTTCTTTCCTCTCCTCTAGTTCCTTGACGAAAGACTTGCTGGTGTGAAAAGAGGTGCTTCCATCGGCGGAAGCTTCTGCGCCGGGCTCTTGCTTGATATCCTTGTTTATGGAATTGTGATGAGTGTGCTCGACCGGCTCTATCTTGACCATTGACGATGGAGTAAGATCAATTGTCCATGGGCCTCGTGGCTTGGACCATTGCTCTCGCGCTTTTGATGATGCTTCATCCTGGTCGATGATCATCAGATCAAAGTCATCGTCAGACTCCTCAGACTTGATGGGTACAGCGGCTTCATGAAAGACCTCAGCGTTCTGAACTCGCTCATCACTGAAAACAAAAAGATCGTCCATCTCGCTGTTGCCATGGTATGACGAAGTTGCAGCCTTTCCACTGCCATGAATGTCGCGACGACTTTCCTCGATCATGTCTTCTATAGACTCATCGAAAATGTCGGGCTCTGCTTGTGTGGCGATTGCTGGGCGAACTCCGCCTTCCACCGGACCGTCGTCGTCGTCGTCGTCGTCGAAACAGAAAGGCTGTTTCTGACGCTTGGCGCCCTTTGCCACTGCATTTCCAGATTTGAAGCAGCTCATGATGAAGAGCTTCGGAGTACCGCAAGTGCAAGATGTAGGCGAAATTTGGAGGTTTGAGGCTTAGAATAGTGACCAAATGACGGCAGAGAAAAGTAGCCGATGAACGATGAAGTAAAGCTGCGTAGCGGTGAGAATTTGAAACTCTCGAAGGGTCTGACTAGAAAGGCAGTAACTACCCAAGCCTCTAAGATCAGTCAGGTAGGGTAGAGGAAGATAGTACGTGTGTGTGAGAGAGATAGAGAAAAGATGTATGAGGGAAAAGATAAGTGAGGGAAAAGATGTGTGAGGGAAAAGATGTGTGAGGGAAAAGATGTGTGAGGGAGGGGATATATGAGAGGAGGGGTATATGAAGTAAAGATGTATGCGAGAAAGAAGGTAAAGCGAAGGAGTAAGAAGGTGCTGTAAGGGTCTTTCGGCTAGGAAAGCGCGCCCGAGAGGGCAATTAGTACGAACCTGCTCAATGGCTTCTTGAAGTTTGGATATTTTTTACGAGGACGTGCTGAGAAGAGTGTAATGAGTTGAAGAAATTGTGTCAGGTACTGCAAGATGAGAATAAGAAGCTCAAGATGATGGAGGAAGAAGGATCGGGTTTCGAGGTTGGCAGTGATATGGAGAAGTTGAAGAAGATAAGAGTCGAGAAGGGTGAGGTTGTAAAAGAGAAGGAAGAAGTCTACGATGGAGAGAGTAAATAAGGTAGGTATGTGTAGATGGTATTTGAGGAAGGAGGTAAGAGAGGAAGGAAGGAAGGAAGGAAGGAAGAGCGCGTAGTCCGTAACTACCTATGACATACCCGCCGTCCTTCCCAGACGGAGGTAGTTGCGATGTTGGCTCTCTTTTGCGCCGAGGGACCCAAGCGGTAGGAGCCCTAAGCACGCTCAAGAAGGATTGCTGCACAGTTTAGGTAAAAGACATAGCAGGTTGGGGGAGTGAAATTGGTATCCAAAACAATCGCTGGTCTATTGAGGTAAAGAACTATGAATGAAGATGCATCATTCTCTAAGGAAGCGAAGGAAACCACGAGCGATATTGACACCGTCATGCTCAATATTTGCGCGATTGATGGCATCAGTAAACATCGCCTCGTCAAAAATGCCAGCCTTGTGGCGAACGTTGAGGATCTCACTGACGATGGGGCCGGTGAACTCGGGGTGGCCCTGGACTGTGATGAACTTCTTTGGTGAGTAGAATCCCTGGACAGGGCACAGCTCCGTGTATGCCAAAGACTCGGCGCCCGCTGGGTTCTCTGTTACGACATCGCGATGCATTTGGTGGATGCGCTGTGGCATGTGAGTACTTGTCCATGAAAAATGACCGCCTTTACTCGCGCCAAGTTGAGGGACGGCACGCCTGGGTTGAAAGCTTACCATCTTCTCCAGCTGGAAAATCTCCTTGCCCTTGGGCGTGAGGTTGACATCCACAACGGCAACCTCCCAGCCGAGGTCGCTCCTCTTTACCTCGACACCTAGTGACCGCCCGACGATCTGGTGGCCGAAGCATATTCCAATAACTCTCACGCGCCCGCTGTCGATGCACTTCTTAGTGAACTCGACCAACTTCAAGATCCACGGGTCGTTGTCGAATGAGTTGTGCTTGCTTCCGGAAATGAGGATGGCATCGATGGAGTCTAGGTCTGGATAGACGGCATCATCGCCGACAGCGTGGTATACTGAAAGGTCAACGATGCTGTCGAGCGGCGCAGGCGGATCGCTGGCCAGGGCGGCGGTGCGCAGAAGTGCGGTGAAGACACCGCCATATCCGCCGTACTCGGCGTTAGTCTGCGGCTGCGGTGTATCGGCCTCGAGGATGGCCAGGCGGATGCGGGGTGGTTGAGAGCCCATGTTGATTGATTTCGACTAGAGTAATGTATATATACAAGATAGGGATGAAGATGTTATGTGAATGAGATTCAAAGTATTGCTGCAAGATGAGACTGGGCTGTTATTTACGACGAAAGACAATCAAGCCGGGGGACAAAGCAGATGATGAAGGAATCGTGAGAACAAAGCACGGGAGCAAGTGACAGGTGGTGGCTGTCCAGATGCCGGCGCCCCGACCGCGGTCCCGCGGCGATGGTGGGGTTCACGCGGGTCGCGGTTGAGTCAAGTGAAAGGCGTCCACCCCAAGGTACCTGAGTGCCCCGCGATCCGATAGCGGGGGGGAACTTACAGCGATAAGGGACCGCGCTATGGATAAGATAGCGATAAGACATCACACCGTTGAAATCCACAAAAGTCAATTGGACCGCCAGTCCCCCAGGCTTACTGCGTACCTTAGCTGAAGGGACCTAACGCTGTGCAACGTTCCGACGTCATCCCCACCACCACCACCATCAACAGCTCCAAGCTGCGAGGACCGCGCCTCTTGATACTCCCCGCGGCAACCTGCATATGCAGTTCCCCATGCGTTAATACTACCAACGCTCGAAGCCTTGTTTCAATACACCGACCTGTCATAGTTCTTCAATGCCTCCAAGGGTCTCCCTCGGCGCTTTCCTCGCCAACGCGAGATCAGCCTTGACGGCTCCGCAACGGGCCAGTCCCTTGACGTTGGTCGTTGGCAACGAATCTGCAGGTACGAGAGACACCCAAGGCTTGGCATTCCTCTATTCATGTGTAAATAAGCTAATGATTTTATTATTCGCACCCAATAACCAGACCTCGACTCTCTCTGCTCCGCCGTCGTATACGCCTACCTTCGCAGCCACGCTGCGCCTCACACCCTCCATATCCCCATCTCGAATCTACCCCGCGATGACCTCAAGCTCCGTCCCGAGATGACAGCTGCCCTGGCGCATGCTAAGCTTAAGCCGAGTGACCTACTCACCCTCGATGAGATACCGCAAGACCTCGCCGCGAAGGACTCCAGATGGGTTCTCATCGATCACAATGCCCTGACGGGAGACCTCGCCAAGAAGTACAGCAGCAGTGTCGTCGGCTGCGTAGACCACCACGCCGATGACCACAAAGTTCCCCAAGACACGGGCGACGAGCCCCGCGTCGTCGAGAAGTGCGGAAGCTGCGCGAGCCTGGTAGTGGAGTGCTGCCGCTCAGCGTGGGAGGACCTCGCAAAGTCGGAGACCGGCGCTAGCGACGTGGACGAGCACCTCGCCAGGCTGTCGCTGGCAGCAATCCTGATTGATACCACGAACCTCAAGTCCAAGGATAAGACGACGGAAAAGGACACTAGCGCAGTCTCCTTTCTGGAAAAGTTTACGAGCGGACGCGACGCGTTCTTTGACGAGATATCCGCCGTTAAGGAAGACATATCTTCGCTGGGATTCCGCGATGTATTCCGAAAGGATTATAAGCAGTGGGAGGATCTCGGCGAAGGTTTTGAGGCGAGCAGCCGCCACAAGGTCATGGGCGTGTCGGCCATTGTCCAGAATTTGGATTACCTACTCGACAAGGCTGGCGGCGATGATAATGTCCTGCTGGGCGAGTTTAAGGAGTGGGCCAAGGAGAAGAAGATGGATGTTGGGGTCATCATGACGACGTCGCACCCTGGTGGCAAGTTTCAGAGAGAGCTTCTCTTGTGGGCCTTCAAAGAGGACGCTATCGAATACTGCAAGAAGTTCTACCAAGCATACAAGGATGATTTAGGCCTGGAGAGCTGGGGCGAGGGCAGACTCGATGAGGTTGGTGAAGGGGAGTGGAGGATGGCCTGGCACCAGAAGAGTCTGTCCAGCTCTCGCAAGCAGGTTGCGCCTATGCTACGGCAGACAATCAAGGGCGGCACCAAGCTTTGAGACAAAGAAGATGTGTTAATAGTGCGGCACTTAAACATGAAGCATGGAGTTATTATTCGGCGGACTACATCAGCTTGGGGCAGGTCACGCTGGGATGTACGCAGGCAATCCCCATTCACCTCGAAAGGCGAAATAGAGTGGTGATGGATGGCTAGCAGCTAGGTATCTGTAAATAATGGCACTATCCATTGAAAAATTCATCGGACTGTTCCTTATATCGAAAACAAAGCGAAGAAGCACGCTGGGTTTTTTGAAAGAGCAAGTCGTAGGGTCGAACAGCAGTGAAGCTCCCAGTCGCTGCTTCATAGCTCAATGTCCAATCACAAAGGGTGGTATAAACCACAATCACTGCCTTTCCCAAAACACGAAGCCCATCATATGGTCTCAAAACAGACCAGTGACCATCATCTCATTAAGGATTATCTTGTTTGTCTGGCACCGCTACATCATCATTCATCATCTCGGATTTCATTGGCTTTTGCCATATCCTTGGTATATCCAAAAGTACCTCATCTTATCCCGGTCGTGCTGCTTCAAGCCAGCTGGGCAACAATGGCATCCAGCCACTTGGCAAGTCTATACAACGTTAGTTTCCCAACTCTATCCAACAAGCAAAAGACCAAGGGACGGAGCTTACCTGTAACCCTGCTTGGCGACCTGCATGCTAACAGTAGGCTGCGCATTCGTCGTATACGCACCACTAATATCCTTGCCCTCCACAGCCTCACGACCATCCGGCAGAACGACAGAGCACACAAACTTGTTACTCTCCGTCGCCCACGCGAGCGCCTGCGACTCGGGGTCCTCGAGGCTCAGCCCGCCAATCCAGCACTTTGACGCCGTCTTGAAGTCGCCAGAGCTAATCTCAGTGCTGAGCTTCGAGGCCCACGACTTTGCGACAGCCAGCACGCTGCTTCCCGTGCCCGTGATGGACTGCGGGATGTTGGTGTCCCACGCGGCGTGCAGGTTCGTGCTGGACCCGTTGAACTCGACGGCGATGCCGTTGCCGCCGAGCTCGAGGTTCTCGCAGTGCAGGGGCTGGCCGATGTCGCCGGTGAAGTGGATGACCATCTTGGCGGCGATCTGGCGCTGCTCGAGGGAGAGTGCGGGCTGCTGGAGCAGGCGGTTGGTGTAGTTTGCGTGGGCGGAGACGATGCAGCCCGTGGGGCCGCAGTCGCGGTCGAGGTCGATGCCGCACGAGTGCGGGGGGTCGTCGAGGGCGTCGATGTAGTGGAAGGTGGAGGTGAAGGCGCCC